CCATGCCAGTTTTACTCAGGTCTTCTCTAACACCACTAAAATCGTCCCAGGTATGTTCTTGTGTTCATGCTGGGCACATGTGTAAGTGTGCAAGAGAGTGAAGAGAGGGGACGAGAAGTCGTGCAGTCATTAACGTCAAAAAGGTCGACAGTAATAAACATTTCAAGCACAAGTTATGACAACCCTTTAAGACATGAAAATGGAAGCTGGAAAATTACTTAAAGCATCCTTATAACTAATAACACCACGCTGCATTTGACAGTGCCTGTATAAAAACCTACTGCACATTCACAGGTACCAGTGATTTCCCTTGTGATGCTCTGCAAGGAAAACCCAGAGCAAAGTCATGTGATTCAGGTGCCAATAAGACATCTCACCTGTGAGAAGGTGACTAGATCACCAGCTTCTGATGAAACCTTATGATAGATGAAAAGTATTCTAGTACAGCTAAAGATGAAGTCTGAACAGGTCTCATATTCCCTAGCAAAAGGTTAGCTGGAACAAACACTTCACACAGATGATTTTAGGGTAAGTTACACGGTTAATCTAAACAATGTGCACATACATATTTGATTTCAACAAAATTATTAAACTATGCTTCTCTAAAATACACAAAATATATAACCACATGATTTGACATTTATAAAACCTCAGCCCTTTTATAAAAACCAAAACAAGGTGATAAGTATTTTGTTTAAAGTTTAAATCTATTGTTTTTGCTTCTTGGCAGTTTTAGTTCCTATGAAAAATAAAAAATACAAACAGCACTCCACCACAGCCTTATAATGCAAGGAATAAATAGCAAGAGTCACACTGTAAATCAAAATAAATAATTTCTACATAATTTAAAAAAATGGTCTCTTCGATTGCACAGTATTTTAAAATTTCAGTAGCAATGCAAAGTCAGTTGGGTATTTCTCTAAATGCTCCGGACAGTCTGAAAGCATCGTGTGCCTCATTTTTCAAGCTTTACACATTGAAAATACCTTAGTCAAACCATCAGCTGATAAAACTGACCAGTGTTTCAGTGGCCTCTTCCTGCGGCGCGGTGCTGCGGTGTCTCTCTGGCGCCCACCTCGCTGGGGCCAGCACCCCCTCTGAGCCAAGTCAGGTACCCACAGCTCTCATGTTCTTTGAAAAGGGTTCACTGTTAGCTACAACTTCCACAGCAGAAGACGCTCAACAGCTCAACAACAGTCCATGTACTCCAAGGCTGCAAAAGTCCCTTCCAAAGGTTTCACCAGACTGGCACATCTCCTTTTTGGGGTGCCAGAGGAACACATCAGGTTTTTGGCTCTCCCCAGAGCTACTCTGCAGATGAGGACTGAGCTACAATTCAAACATACAAATAAAAAACAGGACACCTCGAAACATACAAGCTTACCTCTGGCTGCTAGCAGAAGTCTTAAACCCACTTGCCAAGTATGTGTGTGTGTGTGTGTGTAGATATACACACAAACATAAAAGAAGACAACAAAGCAATTAATACTGTCATAGTCTGGGCATGTTTAGCGCCAAGTTACGTATCCATGGGACATATTAAAAAACTCTAAATACTGGCAACACATTGTTCTATCCAAAACAGTTGTGGGCAGATGTCTAATGTAAATGTGCATTCAAAATAACTGCCTATCTATATACCATTACTGGTGTAGCTGTAATAGCTCGGGACTGTATCTAAAAATACAGAGTTCCTGCTAAGTATCAAAACAACTCTCAAGTACTGAAGACAAGGAAAGTGTTGTCCTCTTCTCAATGGTGGGAAAGATTAACTTGAAGGTATTTATCCTTCACTGCTATTCTAGAACTCAACTGGGGCAAAGACAGCACCACTGAACTAGCTTTTACAGTTTAAGGAACATGGGATGTTACGGTTCACTTATTTGCATCACTTGAAAAATGCAGTATTTGACCAGTACCACTGCTTTTATGTTTATTACTGGTATCCTCTCCACAGGCTGTTAAAGATACACACTGATCTCTCTGTGGTGGAGGAGTTCCCATGCAACTCCGCATTCTATTATCACAGCAAAAATAAAATATCAAGGCCAGTATTTTGTCCACAGTACATTTGCTTTACCCAACATAAGAGAGTCTAAGGGAACTAGCACATAATTGCACAACTTTATAGCCACCAAATTACTTCTGTTCTCATACTTTTAAAGCATTTTCAGTGCTTGAGTACAAAGCTCAGAACCCCTTACAATAATTCTCCAGTGGTCAACACGCTTCCAGGGATTCAATACTGCATGAAGCATATGTGGAGACAATCCACAGTGACAGCCCAGGCCTGGGTGCTGCAGCAACACAGACCCATTCGTCTCCCTGCACCATTTCAACAACACAGCTACGCCTGCTGGTCCAACACTCCAGGCCAGACTGCTACATGTAGGTAGTGGGAAGCATTCTGATGTTCGTGTGACAGGGAACAAGACGAAACACCTCTGTAAAAAACACACCTTTTTGTTCATGCTTAAAGGAATTCAACTTTTGGCAGAAGTAAATTCCTACATAAAAAATAAATGTAGAAACCCATTAAAAACACAAATATAATAACTGCATTATTAAAACAGCTGCATCTACACTATGGTGTAGTACTTAAGTGTAATTCAATTTAAAAAAATCTTAGTGTACAACTAAGATGAGACCCATTTGCCAGTCCAAACCTCAGCGTCAGCGCTGCATCGATCTCTACATTAAAACATGCTCTATGGATGGCGACCAACCAAATCCAGGGAAAAACTGTTGCCACAAGGGAAGTGGTCCTCTCCCTGAACAGACAAGGAAGGACAGACGGCGCGGAGCCCCTTCGGCACCGCGGCAGGGACAGCCCCGGCAGAGCCCGCGGCACATCCGCAGCGGGAGCCGCACGAGCACAACGTCCTGACTGGGTTTGCTGAACATGGTTCAGATTATTGGATATGTCTATAAGCACAATGCTCTTTAGAAGCATTTACTGTTATACCCAAACCCTACTCGCTGCAACACACGGTGTCGGACAAGTAGTGAAAACGTCTTCGTATTCAAAGGTGCTTGGACATCATTTTCAGGCAGCATTTTACCTTTATTTTAGTGAGCTCCCACTACAAAGATTTTAGAAGGAAGAAGATGCCAATAGTTTACTTTTTTTTCCTTTTTAATCTGTGAAATTGAGACAGACACCTAAATAAATACCTACTTTTACTTGCCTAAGTCTACTCTACATCTGAAATCTCTACTTTTTAAATAAGGGATAAAATGTTGCCCAAAAGACTATTTATAATTATACATTTGTGTTTCTACTAAATCTACAAATCAAAATAGTTCTCAGTTAAAAAGATACAATTTGTATCAACAGTAAAAGGTACTTTCTGGTTCTTTAGGGCCTTACTTTAAATTCCAGCAAGTGTATGAAAATTATCAGCAGTAACAGTGTAAACTAGTGACTTTTTAACACTGAACATTGTTACAATAGATGGAAACCTAAAACTGTTGGCAACTGACTATGTCACCTAAGTACATCTGACATCAATTGCAAAATCTATTTCTATTTTTATATATATATGTATATAGAAAAGCTTATGAGGTGCTAGTAAAACCCATGACTTAAAACCAGAAATATCCTTTACTAATACTAAAACAGACGTGCTGTGTCTGTTTCTAAAACTAGGCTATTTGTAGCAAGAATCAGGCCTACACAATACAACAGGCCAAAAACTAACTTCAGGAACACGTACAGTATCTTCTCTCCCCATAATCCTCCCCTCCCCAAATGAAACAGAAAAAAAAAAAAGAAGTTTAAGTTATTATTTTGAGCTACAATATCACCACCATAGTGCAGTTAATAAATGTTGCATATCCTCAACACACACAACCTTTTCAGGCCAGCCTTGATAAATAGCAAGAAAAATCAAACACTACCTTAAATACAAAACTTGCATTGAGATAATTAAATTCATTTAAAAATGGGTAAATATTTTATGAAAAGCTTACTTTATCCAGTACACTTGTGCAGCAATACAAAGACAAACAGATAAAACAACTAAACAAGACCCTATGATTTCGGGCCCCCTTCTACTGACCAGAAATACAGAGAGCTAGTAACAATGCACAGGAACTGAAACAGGGTGGCCTGGTTGGGGAGGTTCTGAGCATTTGCAGCTTCTTTTAGGTTCAAAGGGGGCTGCAGATTCTCAGCACCTTTGAAAATCAGGCATTTAGGCTTCTACCTTATCCATAAATTATTTTAAAAATAAGAGATTTTTTTTCCTCCTCTGATTGCATCTGATCTTACTAATCAACTGCATCAACAAAACATGTAACCATTTAAACACAACAAAGAAAGCAATGAAAAGTGCCATACTATAAATTACTAATATATTGTTACCCATTTCACTGTTAACTGGTAACTTTATTTGTTTAAAAAATGAAGTCAGTGCTGTATTAAATCTTTGTTTCCTATAAATAGATGGTTATAGCACAAAAAAGCTCACAAAACCAACAAACCAAACATACATGCTTATGGTGTTGTAAAAAGTTCAAAAACTTGGCTTGAAAATAGCCTGCCAGAAGAAGCAAAATCCTCTTTTTGCAGGTTGTTTTAACACCACGCAGCCTGAGGACAAACATCCAGCAAGTTAAAAAAATGAAAACAAAAATCCCAACAACATGTAACAAGGATAGAAAGTGCTGCATATAAACCCCTGATGCACCAAATGTTATAACCAGAGACCACAGGTTATTTTTTAAAGATACATATATATATATATTAATTTAAACTGGAACATTCTCCAGCTGTGAAAATAGCCATTTAAAAAATTTCAAACTAGAACACAAAACCTATCTGGTACTTCTGATGCATGGGGCTATACATACAGACTCCATGATACAGTATTTCACATAAACGGATTACTATATAACCTCCTTGCTGAGAAGGAGATCCCAAATGCTATTGTAGCAAACCTCCCTCAGCATTAGAGCTGAGCTGAAAACTACTGGACACCACAAAGATGCATCATCTCTCAATAACCTAGCTGAGATTTCTCCACTAAGATGGCTGCAGCGAGCTGCTGAGCGTCCGTCATGTGAGGGTTCTTCTTCATAACGATCCTCACCAGATCAGGGGGGAAGATGTTGCAGAGATTTATGTAAACCTTCTCCCGGGTGTCTTGGTGCCGTGGAGGGTCTTGAGGGATTCCGCAGTAAGGAACACGCCAGGTCTGGTCCTGCTGTTCAGGCAAGCTTTGGAAGGCAAACTGCTCGTAGCACGGCTGTGTGGGGTTACTCGGCAAGGAGTAGGTCTGGCGGTAGCCATAGGCATCCATCCCATAACTCTGCCTCTCCCAGCTTCCAAGCCCATCTTGGCCAGAATAAGGCTTTCTGTGTCTTAATGGAGAATTATCATATAAACGTGAGTCTGAAACGCTGTCTATTCTCGTGGACACAAGGGCTCTCCCCAGATGCATGGTCTTTGCATGCAACGAACTCTGAGATGCAGAGTAGTCGTTTGGACAGCTGGAACGAGCACTGATGGCTGGATGCTGCAGATGCACAGCCATGTATGGAACTGGAGGTTTGTGGTGATGCTTTGGTTCTTCATGACTATAGCTTTGCACTCGTGTGAGAGGCTCATGGTAGCTCTGTAGGAAGGGCTGGGTGTTAAGGCGGCCGTGGGGGTGCATATGTTGGCACTTCAAGTTCTCCTCTAGCTGTGGGTCAGGCGAACTCATGTAGGAGCGATCACTGTAACCCACATAGGAATCACTACTGCCACAGCTGACACTTCCTTCACTGCTGCAGTCAGAAGCTACCGAGCTTATCCTATAATCTGTATCCAAGGAGAAGCGCCTTTCAGGACTACGTGGACCAGATACACTTAGATTTGAATATGCACTCAGCATAGAGTAATACCCTACATCCACAGGAGACTCACATTTTGGATACTGGTCATAAGGCATTGGTGTTCCGTGATTTTTGGTTGTCATCATCACTGCAGGATACTGTCCCTGTGGTCTTTGATCCTGAGGTGGAAAGTGAACTCCAGATGGAAGGCCGTTAGTTAAAGGTGCAGTACTTTGGGGTTTGGCAGCAGAGGAACTTGGTATACTAACTAAAGAAGGTACAGACCTGGTTTCCAATTTGTTTTTGGTGGGAAGCTTTTCCTCCAAGTCTTGATAGACTTGAGTCCTTATACTAGGATCCGATTGCCTCTTTGGAGTAGCGCGCTTCAGCTCAGAAGTGCCATCGTTTTTAGTGCTGCAGGGAACACTATTGCTTTTTACCAGTCCTCCTTCACTAGTAGTTTTGGCAGCTGTGCTTCTAGACATGGCACGAAGTTCATCAGCTACAGATCGCTGAGGCTGATTCCCTCTTTCTGGATGATAGTATTTGCATTTGTGTCCATAGGTACATTTCTTCCCTATTAATACAAACATAATCAGATGAAAAAAAAGCTTCACCAAAATATGGTAAACATCAAACAATGGAAATGCCCCTTGTTTAAAGTTTTAGTGATGATTTGAAAGATCCTGCGTATGGTTTTGTGTGACATGGTGTGAGATCTAAGATCTCGTCTCTTGTATTATGGGGAAAAACAAGCAGTGGCAGTGTGCTGCAGCTAGTGCTCCAGGAATGCAGACCAATGTGACCAACCACATTTTGAGCTGAACACTGTCAGTGTATCTGTATGCACCTGCTGTACTGGGACAAGGAGATAGACAGGTAGAAAACCTAACAGGAAAGTCCCACAGACCTGTAAGACCAGCAGGTTTTCAGCTCAGTCAGATGGTGGTGTGCCTGTATGAATGCTCAGTAGCTAAACTTCAGACAGGTCAATCAATTTTCTGGAAGAAAACTTAGATGTCTTATGACCAAATCACATTAGAAAAGGTCCTTCTGGAGCCTGCAGAATTTACATGCTGTTTTGGATCTATTTCTACAAATCACTAATGAAGTTGCTCCATTAGTTCAATTAGTAGACAGAAATGTTCTCTAACCAGCACATGAAAAATAGATCACTTCAGTTTCTGCCCTCAGCTCAGCATTTTAACCATTCTCAGGTTAAAATAGTAATGTAAAAACCTCTGTTTAAAAGTTTGTATTTTTGGAAGTGTTAAAATAAAGCTGAAGCTTGGTCCCCAGCCCCATTAGTACAGAAAACTGACAAGTTAAATCAAATTACCATAGGGACATGGTTGCTTCTTATGTTCTGGTACAATAGGCTTCTTCCTAAGAAAATTGTCTAGACTTGGACCATGGCGACCAAGAGGATCATCAGGAGGCATAAATCTATAAAGAAAAGAAAAAAAACAAAAAAAAAAGGTATTATGGAAGGAAACAAGTCTTTTCATATTCCTCATGCAATGACCAAAATGACCAAGCACCTCACGAGTGCATCCTACACTATAATGTCCCATGCTGTCATTTTTAAGCCTGGATACTTTGAGCACTGTTTTGAAAGGCCACTTTTCTGTTGCAGGTACTGCCTGAGAGACAAGTCATAGAAATACACCATGTAGACACTTCTAGTCTGCTTCAGACACCTTCAGCCTAGCTCAGCTGACTGCTCTGTGGCAAAGCAGGGCTGCACACAACCCATTCCTAAAGGCAGCCATTCCTGAAAATGCCACAACTAACTCTGCAAAACTGCACTCATTGTCTAGGACTCTAGCACCACTATTTAGGCCCTCAAATACAAGTGTCTGCTTGGCAGAATACTGAGTCCATGCAAGTAGAAGAAGACATCAGTAGTAACTGCAGTTGATCTCTGTGCTGGGCTACAAAGATAATACAGATGAATCTAAGCAGGCAGCTGAACTAGAGGCCTCCTGAGGTTCATTCCAACATGAGTTTTTCTATGACTTTAGGATTTAGGAGTCTAACCACAGGCTGTCTCAGTATATATATATATATATGTAGTTATAAAAAGCTCTACAAAAAACAGTTTGAGTATTTTGGATTATAAAATCTATGATCAAATATTTCTTCTGTTTTCCTACATGTACCTAATGATTTGAGTGTAAGATGGAAATTCATCCAAGTCTTCAGATTTTCCTTCTCTCAATTATTTTAGTGGCACAAATAAAGACAGACTGACTTACTTGTCATTAACAAAGGAATACATCAGCAAGCGCTCATCTATGAACTTCTTCCATTCAGGCTTTTCATTAGCTAGATCCCTGTAGTTATCATTAGAAACAATGATGCCATCTGACTCAAAAGCCAACTTCACTATGAATCGGTCATCATAGCACACCACCCTTCTCCCTTGCACTCGGCGGGATGGCGTGAACACAAGAATCTTCTCCTTTTCTAATTTACGTAAGATTTCTTGATCTACAAGGAATAAGAATCAAAGGTTTAAAAATTAAAAAAAAAAAAAAGGAAGTCATGTTTGTTTAATCTCCAAAGACATTAGAACCAAGGGAGAAAATCTAAACATCTAAGCATTTAGGACTAAACATGACTTAAATGATTATAGTCCAGCAGGAGGTGCCTGACATTTGAAGTTACAGTCAGCAGTCAACTGGCAATATTAAAAACAAACAACCCAAACAAATTAAAATGTCCTACTCCACACCATTTCTCGAAGACTATCACAGGGGACCTTGTTCATGTTGTTATGGTTCAAAATAAACACTACTTATCAAGAACAGAAGGCTCAGAGACCTGAAGGGAGCCTGCAGGAAAGCTGTGGAGGGACTTTCTAAAAGGACATGTAGTGATAGGATGAGACAGAATGGCTTTAAAGTGGATGAGGGGAGTGTGGGGATTGGTCCATCTTCTCTCTCCTCAAATAAGACTAAACAACCATTAACAGAAATTGCATGGCCAGGGATAACAAGAGGACATTCTCTCTGTGCTTTGATGATCATGACCCAGTAGTGATCCATCCTGACAGCCGGTAGCCTCTGTGATGGCATCAGCTTGCCACAGGGAGATTTAGATTAGACATCAGGAAGAAATTCTTCACTATGAGGGTGGTGAGACACTGGAACAGTTTGCCCAGGGGGGCTGTGGATGCCCCATCCCTGGAAGGTTCAAGGCCAGGTTGGATGGGGCTTTGAGCAACCTGGTCTAAGGTGTCCCTGCCCATGCAGGGAGGTTGGAAGTAGATGATCTTTAAGGTCCCTTCCAACTGAAACCATTCTATCATTCTATAAAAACCCTCTCTCATTGAAGGGGTGGTTTTAAAATACTGCATGTTTTAGTGAAAGGAGGGCTACACCCAAGTGTAGCCAAGGGTTTTCCATAACTGAGCTCCTGGGTAAAGACAGACCTCTTCCATCTCTTCATGGTACCCAACAAGAAACATCTTTTGAAATAATTCCAGTAGCTCTTGTTAATGGGACTGTTTCAAAAAGTCTCTGCCCATCAAGAGAAGGAATTACTACCAGTACCCACAAGGATTAGAACACCCATGATCTGTACAAATACCCAAGCTCTTCACAAATGTTAACAGCATCCTCTAGAAAGACATCTGTAACCAAGAGCAAATACAGAGTTCTTCTGTTTTATTTTGCCTCCAGTAATGGTTTGAAACGTATCTTTCTTTGAAGAGTTTATATTTTTGCATATGAAGTCTTACCAAATCCAAAGAGATTTATCTTTAATCCTGCTAAGTAATTGTGTTTAACATTTTACCCAATTTCTTTTTGTCCTATATAGTCCATCAATCACCTATCCAAAATAATTTTATCTTTCCCTGTATGGGACCTGGAGATCTTAAAGAGCTTTGAAAGATGGCCTAAGGAGGTTGGTCTGAATGGAGATTCTAGATACAGCACCAGTGCACCTAGTAGTGGTGTATACAACTCCTTATGTAGATTCTCCCAGCTATCACCCTGCTCAGAGAAGACAAGCTATGAAAGAAACATTTAAAAAAGCCAGACAACATCTAAAATGGCAGAAAATAATGCTCATGCAGTGAATATGAGTCATAGCTCTTAATAATGGTTTAGATCTCAAATAACTCAACTGTTCTGTAGCACAAGACACTTGACAGGGAATGTGTTCCATCTAGGAAGGAAAAAAGACTCTAACACGAAGAAATACAGCATTAATATTATATATAAACAATGTATTTGATACAAGCATTTATCTGTTTAATAGAAAAAGCTCAGGATTTTAAACTGAATCCAAACTCTTTGTACTCAATACCCCACCCAGTCACGTGGTAAATGATGAGTGTGATGGAAGGTGATTTATTTTGCTCACTAAGAAAGAATAACAACATCTCCCATGTGATGATTAGCAGTAAATAATAGGAAAGATGCAGCTGTTGTTTAAACCAAGAAGCTTCTCACAAATACTGACAGTTTAGAACCATCCTTAAGTCTTTTTCAAAATTCCAGGTGGTTGCATATTTCACAGAATCATGGAATCACAGTTTGAGCTGGAAGGGACCTTTAAGATAATCTGGTTCCAACCCCCTTGCATGGGCAGGGACACCTCCCACTACATCAGGTTGCTCAGAGCCCCATCCAACCTGGCCTTGAACACCTCCAGAGATGGGGCTTCGACAGCTTCCCTGGGCAACATGTTCCAATATCTCACCACCCTCACACTGAAGTTCTTCCCATTAACATGGTATGTTCCAGCAGCAACCAAACAAATGAAATGAAGGATTGTGAAGATCTTTCCAGATATTTGAAAATGCATCAATGGTTATCAAAAATCTGTAATCTTCCTTATCTCCTTATATGACAAGATGACCCACCTGGTGGATGAGGGAAAGGCTGTGGATGTTGTCTACCTGGACTTCCCTAAAGCCTAGACACTGTCTCCCACAGCATTCTGATGAAAAAACTGGCTGCTCATGGCTTGGATGGACATGCTCTCTGTTGGATAAAACACTGCCTGGATGGCCGGGCCCAGAGAGTGGTGGTGAATGCAGCTAAACCAGCTGCTGGCCGGTCACTGGCTGGGTCCCTCAGGGCTCAGCGTTGGGACCACTTGTGTTTAACATTTTTATCAATGACCTTGGTAAGGGTAGAGAGTGCACCCTCAGTAAGTTTGCAGATTACACCAAGTTGGGAGGCAGTGTTGACCTGCTTGAGGTTAGGGAGGCTCTACAGAGGGACTTAGACAGAGTGCATCAATGGGCTGAGGCAAAATGTATGAGCTTCCACCAGGCCAAGTGTTGGGTCCTGCACTTGGGCCACAAGAATCCCATGCAATGCCACAGGGTGGCTGGAAAGCTGCCCTGCTGAAAGGGAGCTCAGTGTGCTGATCAGCAAGGGGCTGAACATGAGCCAGCAGTGTGCCCAGGTGGCCAAGAAAGCCAATGGCATCCTGGCTTGTATCAGAAATAGTGTGGCCAACGAGTCTAAGGAAGTGATCCTCCTCCTGTACCCTGTACTGGTGAGGCTTCACCTTGAGTGCTGTGTTCAGTTTTGGGCACCTCAGTACAAGAAAAACATCGAGGTGCTGGAGTGGGTGCAGAGAAGAGCAAATAAGCCAGTGAAGGGCCAAGAGAACAAGTCTTATGAGAAGCAGCTGAGGGAACTGGGGCTCTTTAGACTAAAGAAAAGGAGGCTGATGTTAAGACTTTAGCGCTCTCTACAACTACCACAAAATGCATTGTAGAGAGGGTGCTGGTCTGTTCTCACAGGTGAACAGTGATAAGGCAAGAGGGAATAGCCTAAAGCTATACCAGGAGTGCTTTAGGCTGCACATAGGATTGCTTTTTCTCTGAAAGGGTTGTCAGGCATTGGAACATGCTGCCCAGAGAGGTGGCTGAGTCACCATCCCTGGATGTCTTTAAAAGTCATATAGATGTAGTGTTTGGAGATATGGTTTAGGGCTGAACATGGCAGAGTAGGGTTAAAGGTTGGACTTGATGATCTTAAAGGTCTTTTCCAACCTAGATGATTCTGTGATTCTGCAACTTTAGAAGCCAGAGATACTACTCTCAAAGGCTCACCTAGCCATATTTAGCATAACAAAACAAAACCAAACCCACAACTCCCCCCTAAATCCTACCAATTTTTTAACCCTGAATTCTCCTCTGCTTCAACTTTAGAGCAAAAGAAGGACAGATCTGCCTTTACACAGAATTAGTTTGATCGAGACATGAATGCATCTACATTTCTTTATTTTTTTCTAGATAAACACAGCCAAAACTAGAATTTTCAAAAGATGTCCCACTTTTTTACAGTTATGATGAAAAGGGGAAGGGTTCAGGATATTCCCGTAACCCCAGTGTGGGCAATGACTCACTGAGGTGACTGGCAGACAGGGCACCCTGGCAGAATCTGCTCACAAGAAAGATCACCCAGTGAATCACTAAGTTCAAACCTCTATGCTGCCAATGCTACAAGGGCACAACAGTTTTACAAAATGGCAATTACACTCTTTAATTAAAAAGTAGCAACATTAATGGAAAATTTATCAGGTGAGCAGAAAGGAGGACTTAGAGGAGGGCATTGCTTTGTCTTATTCCTTCCTGAAGACTGCAATGAAGTTACTGCACCAAAGATACTTCCTATCATAGTCTTTCATTTCTAAAGGTTTGTTCATTTGAGCACTCATGCCATGCAAAGCATCAAACAAACCAGTAAAGGCAGAACAGTGCTTACCTGTGATGAGAGCATCAGGTCTTGACTGTTCTTTCCTCCACGCTGGCACAAACACGGTCACATCCTTGTGGCCTCTTTCCAAAAACCAGTCCACAGCCAATTTGATTCCTCGACAAGAAAATACTTCTTTGTTCCCATGGCTGAAACACACATTGTAATTTCTTATGACTTTGCTTTTCTATGACCTTAAATGGAGCATAGCAAAACATGGATCTCAAAGTCATGCTCTTCATTTGCTCTGTGGCTTTGAAAGCCAACTGAGAGTTAGTCTGAGCCTTGCCCAAATATTGCCATCACTTGCAAAATGGTGTCAAAGAGGGATACTGAATCTGCCCAACATTTTTAGCCTCTGCACGTGGATTCAACAAGTAAGGAAAAATGTAAGTAAGGAGTGTTAAAAATCCTCATAGCCCAACGAAAAGTATGGGGTATAACAAGCACCACAGAGACTTGATGAGGGAACACAGGCAGTCTGAAATAGGAGGCGACATGGAAGACTGCAACAAGTTTAAGAAATGGTGTCAGATGAGTACTGAGCAGTGGTGTGCATGGCAGCACAGGGAAGAGGCAGCAGATCCTGGCTGCAGAAGCTCTGTGAGATCCCATCTGAAATGAGAGAGAAGGACTCCAAGCCCCAGGGGGAGGCAGACACTCCAGCAGGACCAAATTAGGCGAACTGAAAAGACTGTCCAAAATCTACATGACAAAACTAAGAATTTGCTCTGCACTGCACTTCAGAAGGAGAAATTAACTGTGTAATAAAACAAGCTGTGGAGAGACAGTTCAGCAGAAATGGATCAGACATAAGCAAAACAAAAGGTGTGCATTTGTTGTGCAATAACTGTCTGAGGTAAGGCAAGAGACGCAATTATGTCATTTTCTAAAGGCAGATGAGTCCTCAGCCAACTTCAGTTTTGGGCACGATGTATTATAAAAGACACAGAGGAACCTGAAAGAATCAAAAAGCAAGTGAAACAAGGTCTATGGGTAATGGCTGAAAAGTGCATGTAGTTAATCCGGAGTAAAAAAGTAGCCTGTGGAAGAACAAAACAATCTTCAATATAAATAAGGTAATTAAAATAGAGAACAGCAATCAACCACTGGGTATCTGTGGAAAAGTTCTGGCAGCAGGAGGATGCAGGGTACCCACTGTGAGAAGAGTTCAGGGGATGCCCTGTGCCAGGCATGCCCAGCTCCTGCCAGCTCCATCATAGAGGAGGGAGTGAAGGAACACCAAGGCCTTGGAAGGTGGAGGAGGAAGAGGTGCTCTATGGGGAACAGCTATAACCCCAGAGGGACTGCAGCCTGTGGAGCACAGGAAGAAAAGCATGAATGAAAGGAGCAGTAGAAACAGCCATGTCCTGATCCCAACCCCTGATGCCACTCATGGCCTCTCTGCAGAGACCCAGTGTCACCTGCCACCATGACAAGAGGGAAGAGAGGTGTCTGGAGTGAAGTGAGCCTGGGAAAATCAGAGGATAGATGTTTTTCCCCTAAATATTTTAATGTTTGTCTTTTTTGTTTCCCATTGTCTCAATCAGTAATTAACAATTAAGTTCACTAGCTATAAATTGAATTTGTTTGACATGCAACAGTACTTGGTGACTGACTTCCCTGTCCTTATTTTGACCCATGAGTTTTCTTGCTCCATTTTCTCCCCAAGTCCTGCTGTTGGAGAGAGCAAGCACCCAACTGGGTATATGTCCCTGTGCCAGTTGTGGTTGACCACTGACTGGGTGGACAGAAAAGTCCTCAACTAGCATAAGGAACAGCTAAACAATATGTTAGAAGCAGCCTTCTAACTGATCAATGGGACAGTCTGCCCATGGATTCTGGGATTTCCTCACTGAACACTTTCCAGAACAAGTCAGATGACTCCTCTCCAGTCAGTGTTCTGCATGTACAACTTTTGTGAGGTCTCTCCCAACCTCAAAGCAATACATAGCAGAAGAAACACAGAGGCATGGCAGCAAGCCATTGCTTCTTGCTTGGCTGGCTTGTCATGTACAAGTGCATCACAATCTGCTTTCCAGAAAGTTAGTCTGTGAAGTGATTTGTGAAGAGGACAGCATGATGATAGGTAGCCAAAGGGATCTCAAAAGTTCCTCCCACTTGCATGTTTTGAAGTAAAGAAAAACACCAGAAAGTTATTTTAAAACTTTTTGTTTGTTTGTTTGTTTTTAGTAGGACCATTTAAAAGTACCTGCTATCTCCAGCCCTCTGTAACATAGCACTGCTGTACAACTCTTGATACACTGGGGGAGCTTGAGTAATTGTGCAATGGATTAAGTGTCACAATAAGTGCGAGAAAAATTCTGAAACAACGTTCAGGTTCCAGAAGCCTGTGAAGGAGGTGGTGTACATGTTCACCTGTGTCTAGGTTTTGAGAGAAGATGAGTCATGGCTAACACCTCTCACAAAGTATCATCCCCAGTAGAGGCTGTGTTGAAGGTCACAGGCCCCAGACTAAAGGGGGAAAAAGAGAAGAAGGGGAGAAGAGGAGCCCACTATCATTATTCAGATTAAGTGAGGAACTATACAACTTTCTTTTCTAATGATGCCAAAACAGGACCTGGAAACATAATCCTATACGAAGATACTGCAATTGTCACTGGTCATAATAATCAAAGTAGATAGATTTTAGATAATACAGCATAGTCCAAGGTGAGTTTAAATCCACCTCCAGTGCCTATATAGGGCTATACTAGGAAACCTGTCTGGAACAATGGTTCTAGGCCTCTGCAAAAACACATTCCTTGTTTTGTACAATATCCTCATGAAATACACTATTACACTGAAATAACACTAATAATAAAACACAGCAATAATTTTTCTAGGCACTGGTTTATACTATAGTTATTCGTCTGCTTGTTTGGCTGAAAAAGTATCTTTGTGCATTTCATAACTTCCCAGGAACAGGAAACCAAACCAAACACAGATATGTCACATTTAAAATGCACATGCATATTAAAAAATGGCCAACAGTATGTACAGCCATGGCAAGCTTAATCACATCTCCCTGCAACAACACACCATGAGGACACTTCGTGTGTGTTCAGTGCCCAGTGGTCAGCCATTAGTCCTCCTCTGCAAAGCCTGGTACCCAAAATGACTGTTCATGCTATCAGCAGGTCATGTGCAACCACAAATACACTGCAATCCATTTTAAAACCACTGGGAAAGGCTTTGTCCAGCTACTAAATTCTAGTGAAATCACTGCACTGTGGTTAGTCTAAACAATCTCCGTTCTTTCAAATGGATAAAATCACTTTTCACTCCTGACAGAAAATTGTCAAGAGTGTGTTTTAGTAACTGCGTGTTTGTTCCCCTAAGTCTGAAAAATAATTTCTGGATTTAAATCCTGCCCCCTCTGAAAGAAATGGTCATTCTGGCCTATCACTTTCAGTCAGGCTGGAACTCAAGCCACATTTTTAAAGTCAGAGGGAGGACCAGGCAGTTCAGCTCCTTATACTTCTCCTGCCTAATAAAGATTATTAAAACTCTTTCATCTAGAACATACATTTTAATATATTTAAACTCTACTGACCAGGAATATGAAATGCATTACAATGCATATGAGCTTTTCTGCATTGCTGAGTAAGTGGATTTATGGCTCATAGAATTCTTCACATTTTCTGCTCCTTTTCAGACACTTGCCTAGGCTAGTATCTGAGTGGATACAAATTCCAAGAAATTTAAATGATTAGTGTGAAAGTTTTTGAAAAAGATGTATAATTAAAATTTGTTCTTTTCTTCTGTTTTGTTGTCATGCAGATTTGATGCTTGCCTTTGGATGATCTTTGTGCTTCATCAGCTTTATGATACATCATATGGTGAAAAGACTGAAATCATGCTGCTGCTTCTGACTTTTTTTTTTCTGGTTAGTTGCAAATAAGAGTGGAAATGTTTGTATTTCTTTGTCAAAAAAACTTCCTTTTAAAAAGACCTTCCCAATTATTATATTATTATAATATCCTTCTATATGTTTGGAAAATCTTTCCATTTTATTGCCTTCTCAGGGATCAAGCTGATGCAGACTGGCCTGTAGTTCCCCATAGGACAAGAGGAAATGGCCTCAAGTTGCACCAGGGGAGGTTTAGATTGGCTGTTAGGAAAAATTTATTCACCAAAAGGGTTATCAAGTATTGGAACAGGCTGCCCAGGGAAGTGGTTGAGTCACTGTCCCTGGAGTCACTGGAAAGATATGCAGATGTGGCACTTAGGGACATGGTTTAGTGGCGGACTTGCCAGCTTTATGTTTATGGCTGGAATTGATGATCCTAAAGGTCTTTTCCAACCTAAGTAATTTTGTGATTATATGTAAAAGCTCAGAGCAGTCAGGACGACAGCTGTAGTCCTGGGTGAGACACTGGTGTATACTGCTTTGGTTCTGCTTGTTGACTATTTTTAATCTACCACTCTTAGTTGAAGGAATATACAGCATATTCCTTTAGAAGTATCTCTTTCTCTTTCATACTATGCATGAATGACTCTTTTTATCACCACTTTAATATTTGGCCTGTTCACAGTTGTGGTTTTATTTTAAATGAAAAAAAAAAAGTAGTATTACACTTGCCAAGCAAAAACCAATCAAGTATTTTCCAGGCCAGGAGAGTGAGCAGAAAGTGGTAAAAACATCTGATGAGAACAGTATTTTCTCTGTTACCTTTGTAGCCCCCAAAATAGACTTTCAAGTGACTGTCATGGAAAGAGTTGTGGTATACACTCCTAAATCATTGACAGCTTCCAAGCTACAAGACTTCTGGTGTGCTCTTATGCAATATTAAAACCAACACAGCTCTCAGATTTTGACAGCCACAGAAAACATACACATTGATGACAAGAGGTGTTAGAGCTGAGGTCTACAATAATATCTGTTGCAATACACATACAGGTTTTTTATACAACTGGAATCTGGGCACATCAAGGTACTTTCCATGTAAAAGAATGTTAATTAAAAGCAAGAAGAACAAAACTAACACAGAGATCTGCCTGATAAATTTGGAGAGTTACAAAACTATTTTATTCTGTCATGTCACAGGAGGAAAACAGTACTTAGTCCATAGTATAGACAGATAAGAATTTCCATCCTGTATTATATTAGTGACTCATTGGCTGGCAGCCTGGTTTGCCACTAGCT